AAATTTTTTTTTAATAATCATTCAACTCAACTGTACTCACCTGTAGAAAATCTCACACGAAACAGAAGTCAAATCTTTTAAAAAGTTTGAAATAAATAAATAAACAAATAAAATCAAATGAGACAAACCTCTTATTATAAAAGAAGTAATTATTTTATGGTTATAAATAAATAAATAAATATATACCTATATATATATATATATATATATATATATATACACACGAGCGATAACAGAACCCCTATCGTTTCATCGTTTGTATCACTCTGCTTGCGGTATTTCTCACAGCGAGTGTCATGGCAGATGGCCAAATCCACTATAATTTTAAAAATAATACTGTTTTTGTGTCACGGAATGTAGTTTTAAGAGTTTTTTTTAGGCGAAAATGTACTTGTTTAGATTTCAAATAATGGTTTTTAAAGACACTCCGTTGTTATAACTGTTGTATAAACTCAATATAACACGAGTAGACGTGAGATATGGCTGTATATCGGCACGGCTGTGATTCGGCGTGACTCTTTTTAATAAAAGAGTACCATATTTAGTTTGCCTACGGGATATTTACATTCAAGGTACTTCAAAAATACCATGGTATTCTCAAAGTACATGTCTAAAAAATTATGATGATAACAGTACATTGTTAATAAAGATGCTCAAAAACGATGTATTAAATGTACATTTAAGTATATTCTTTTGTGAGTTACTATCGCATATAAACAATTCAAAATGATTAAAACTGGTAAAAATCAGTTGTTAATCTACAATCTGGTGAAATCACAAAACCTCCTGTTCATTTACCAGCTGTCACCGCATAGAAACAAAACTCTCTCAGCATCATAAAACGGCATTTGTTTACCAATTACTTTAACTCCTCCATGCAGAAAATACGTTCTGCAGAGTGACATGACTTCTATGCACAGCTTGTAATACCTTTCAGACAATTATTAAACCTTGCTTTATTGAAAAGAGCTTCTGAGTCCTGGCCAGCAAGTATCAGAGCCCATGAGCAATTTGATCCTCTGCCGAGGCTGCTTATTTCCATAAATATCTCGTTTAATATTAAAAACAAACATGGCGCTCTTAAAGGTTGAAAACTATGCATCATATTTACCAAGCATTTAAAGATGTTTATTAAGAAGACCTCTGGTGTATCTGGAGTCAGCTGGGCTCAGACGAGCGCTGTGATGTTTTGGTGTGGCTGACTTTCCATTCCGCTTGACTGGCTTTACTCAGAAATATTAGAATGACTTTTAAGGCCAAAAAAAAAAAATCAGTGATGGGAAGGAACTAACTAAAAGTAATGATGCCACCTTAATATTAAAGGCTGTCTGGTGCAGTCTTAACAACTTGGAGCTGAACACCCTCAAAACAGTGGAGATGATCGTGGACTTCAGGAGGAACCCCCCTGCACTCCCCCCACTCACCATCATGGATAGCACTGTAACGACAGTGGAGTCATTCAGGTTCCTGGGCACCACCATCTCTCAGGACCTGAAGTGGGACACTCACATTGACTCCATTGTTAAAAAGGCCCAGCAGAGGTTGTACTTCCTTCGCCAGCTGAGGAAATTCAACCTGCCACAGGAGCTGCTGAAACAGTTCTACTCAGCCGTCATCGAGTCTGTTCTGTGCACTTCAATAACTGTCTGGTTTGGTTCAGCTACAAAATCAGACATCAGAAGACTACAGAGAATGGTTCGGACTGCTGAAAGGATTATTGGTGTCCCCCTGCCTACCCTCCAAGAACTGTATACATCCAGAGTGAGGAAAAGGGCTCAGAAAATCACTCTGGATCCATCACATCCAAGCCATCTCCTTTTTGAACTTTTGCCATCTGGTCGGCGTTACAGAGCACCGAATACCAGGACAGCCAGGCACAAGAACAGTTTCTTTCCCCAGGCAATCTACCTCATGAACAGTTAATGTTCTCCCATTGTGCAATTAAAGTACAGTATGTGCAATAACCTTATACTTATTTATCACCCTAAACCCTAGTACATCCCTACAACTTATTTTATTTTATTCTATTCCTATTCCATCTATAGCACACCTGTACATACAATGTATTCTTTTTTGTATGGTTTATATTTATGCATGTGTATTTTATTCACATCTCATTTTTATTATCTGTGTGTAAAGCTCTTTCTGATTCTGATTCGAAACAGCCTTCACTTTTTCAGTGGTGTGACAGTAGTTTTTAAAGTAGAGTAGCTTCTACACAGTGGTGGACGAAGTACACAAATCAAGTACTTGAGTAAAAGTACAGATCCGTATAATAAAATATTACTCCAGTAAAAGTAAAAGTACTCAGTTTTCAATTTTACTCGAGTGAAAGTACAAAAGTACTTGATTTTTTATGTACTTAAGTAAAAAGTACTGATAGATGAATGTTTATTTTGCAGTTTTATATAGGCTACTTGGCCACATCACCACCTCGGGTGTGCATTGTTTTTCTAATAATTCAACAGCCCGTCGTCAATTATTCCTTACTTAGCATATATTTTTTTATAATTCTACTGCTCAAAATACCTGGGATTTTCCCAAAATAACCAATAAGGAAATAATGAATATAATAAGGAAAATATAATTAGATTTTCATAATGATTTTTTTCTTCTCAAACCTCGTCTGTGGTGTAAAAACACCCCTGGCCAAATGCCCCCAGAGGGCATCACTTCCCACTTTTATATTTACTGTAGTTACCATGTTCTGAACATCACATTCTTTCTTTTCCCCCAGATGTAATCTATCTAACTAAACGGTTCATTTGAATCAGTGAGTTGTCGACTCGAGAACAGCTGCAATCGGATTATTCCAATTCATGAATGAATCGTTTGGAGCGATTTGCGAACCGATTTAACGGGTTCATTGAATAGAATCAGTTCGTTCATGAATCAGACACCGCTTCTGCATCTCGGAGCATGTGATATACAGTGGGGCAAAAAAGTATTTAGTCAGCCACCAATTATGCAAGTTCTCCCACTTAAAAAGATGACTAAATATGATTTTCAGTTTCAATACTTAATCCTAAAATTCGACATTAGTAACTTATTTTTAACAGCATCAGACGCGCGCGCACTCACAAGATCTCCCGGTTCTTACTTATGAATTCAGTTCACTGGAGACTTGCACTAAACGGTTCATTTGAATCACTGGTTTTTTTTTCTCATTTTGTCTCTCGTAGTTGTGGTATACCTATGATGAAAATTACAGGCCTCTCTCATCTTTTTAAGTGGGAGAACTTGCACAATTGGTGGCTGACTAAATACTTTTTTTCCCCACTGTATTATATGGAGTAACGATAAGTTTTATGAAATGTAGTGAAGTAAAAAGTACGATCTTATGCTTTGGAATGTAGTGAAGTAAAAGTAAAAGTTACTCAAAATAAAACTACTCCAGTAAAGTACAGATACTTGAAAAATGTACTTAAGTAGTAAAACTACTTCGTTACTGTCCACCACTGCTTCTACAGCAACAAACTACTTTTTCAAGAAGTGTAGTGTGATAAAACATGTAATAATCAAACATGCCTCTCATACAGAGTTGGGAAGTCTAATTCATTTTAGTGAATCGATTCACTCTAGTGATTTGATTCATTCTACTCAATTAATCCACTCTAGTGAATTGACTAATTTGAACAATTCATGTATATTCAATCAAATTAAATAAATAAATAAAAAAAATTCTAGATTGCCCCTACATGGCATTTCAACTAAATATTTAGGAATAATTTACCAAATAGTAAGAATAGTTTACAAATAGTTTACCAAAGAATTTCTGGAGTTATTTACTCATCCTCATGACTGTCAAGCTCCAAAAAGTACAAAAAATCGCTATAATAAAAAGTATTTAAAAAACCCATATGATTATATTCTAATCTTCCTATCATATGTGTACATTGTGTGAGAAAAAGACAAAAAAATCATCATTTACTGATAATCTGCATATCCATTGTGGTTCTAAAATAAAAATGGCACCTAGAGAGCAGGCAGAACGTTGCTAATGGTTTAACACATCATTAAAATTGTATTACAACCAAACATCACAACATCAGACCTGCACTGCAGGTGCATATTTTTTAATAAGTAGCATTTTATTTTCTGAAACAAACATTCAAACTTAATGCTGTCACCAACTGAGATTAATTTGATTTAATCATTTAAAGCTCTTAAATTATTTTAATCAATATTTTTAGTTATAGATCCTTCTCAAATAATCAGATGAGATTTTTTTAAATTAAATTTCCAGCTAAAAATTACTATATTGGGATGAATTTAGACATGTCCCTTATAAGTACCATGTTATTTCTGCTACATGCTATATCCCATGGTATTAAAAGAGTACCATATTCAAATTGCACACATGGGATATAACATGTAGCACAAATAGCATGGTATTTTCAAGGTACATGTCTAAATTAATTTATTTGACTCATTCACTTGCTGTTTTATTAATTTATTTAGTAAGGGATATTTAGTTTTTTTTGTGTGTGTGCTAGATAAATCCTGTTCATATCATCAGATGTGATATACTTTAAAGGGGTCCTATTATGCTTTTTCACTTTTTCAACTTTAGTTAGTCTGTAATGTTGCTGTTTGAGCATAAAAAAGATCTGCAAAGTTACAAAGCTCAACGTCCACTTCAAAAGGAGATATTTTATTTAACAGAAATCACTTTTCAAAAACTACAACGAACGACTCGACAACAAACTACAACGCATATTTTATTTATGATATCACAAATATCGACGAATGGGACGAGACCTGGTTGAGCTGCACTAGAGAAGGCAACGAGTGTTATCATCACTATGTCGGAGACACGCTAGCTTTCCCAAGGCAGACGAACTTAGAGTGGTTACAATCATCAGGGTTTAAATCGCTCTTAAATTGATTTGATTTTGACACAATATTTACACTGAAGCTCGCAGGCAGTGGGCACAGATCAATAAAACTCAGGGGCGAGAGAAAGAGAGCCACAGTATATCAAGATGAAATAAATGTACAGCTCACTCACGGGCTCACGCCTTGCTGAGGGAATCATGGGGGCTGGAGCGGCTGTGCGAGGAGAGAGCGAGAGTGATTCACAGCGCTGCATGAAGACAGCCTTATTGAACCATAAATTAGTTTGGTTGCATTTTTTCAGCAGCCTGAGATTGACTTCAGATACAGTCAGAGCCGCTACAATGACACTGAGATGCACAGCTATCAGAATAACCACACGGACATTGAACATCTGCCATTTGTTGACTCAAAAAGAGCAGATTTTGATACTTCAGAGGGGCAATGGCTTGTGGGGGAACTAGTGATGCACCGGCAATCGAAAATATTCAGCCCAAAATGAATTTTCCGTTTTGGCTGAAAGAGAATTAATTGAATTAACGCTTCTCAGATGGAACATTTTGACTGTTTTAGTGTCTATTTCATGCACTCAACATAGATAAACTATAACAGGTAAATATATCAGCACTGTGGAAGCTAGTTCTAGGTTGACAATATTGATTCATCATTTTTAATCTTCATTTGTTGAACTCTGCTTGAATAAAACATTACTAAACATTATTTGTAGCACGCCTCCCACCCAATAATCGCAATAAGCTTTGTTGCTTTTGATTGAATCAAAGTCTCAGATCTCCATTTAATAACAAAATACAAACAATAAATGTGGTTTTGAAGCTTTTTTTTATCGCTTTTTGAGAAGGGCTTTAAATATGAGACAGCAAAATGCACGGACAAAACTCAGAAGTATGTGTATTTCGATTTGTGGGGTGATACTGTGGAATAGATTAAACGGATATATCAAAGAAAGTGTTAATATGTTGCAATTTAAAAGTAGGTATAAAAGATTTATTTTTGATAAATACAGAAGTGGGGGGTGAGCGTGAGAATTTCAACATTGTTGTTAATACTGCTTGATTTTGTTTCTGTTTGTCTTGTTTATCTTAATAGATAAAGTAGGACGTAATTTGGACTAGTATTTTTGTATTATTCAAAATGGTATGTCTGATTTATTATGGCTGATTGTGATTTGGTATTGGTAATTACTCAGGGTAGGATTTAATAAGCCTAGGGCTTCTACCTACCCTTTTTTTATTCCAAACAGGTTGAATATATGTAAAAGAATACATATATTTGTTTGTTTGTTTTTGTTTATTGGTATTTATTTGTATATTTATTATGTTTTTTTTCCTTTTGTATTTTTAATAGTTCGAAATAAAAAAAAAATTTGAAAAAAAAAAACATGCACAGGTAATCTTCCAGATGCAATCTGTCCGAGTTTCAACATCAGCAACAGCATTCACGACCCATTTAACATCCATAATGTGATGCATTTCTGAAAACGAAAAAACAATAACATATATTTGTTATCATTATTTCAGTTCAACCTGCCCCTGCACGGCTCATAAAAACAAAACAAACTGTGATTGATCGCTTTATATCTCAGCCAGACGGTCGCTTTTCCTGTAAGCGGCTGGTTCTTGAGCCAGAATCAGCTGCAGTGTGGAACAGACCTTATGCAGTTTAGTCAAAGCTCTGGCTACAGTAACGTGAGACTAGAGAAAGACAGATGAGAATTAGAAAGTAAAAAGTTGCAATCGTGCATCTGACCTGCAGAGAGTCTCGGCCGCGTCCTGGGCGTCTGCATCTCCTGCCGCGCGTGAGGCAGCATGTGGTAGCGCTTGGCCTCGTTGACCAGATCTCGGCAAGCCTCAGACGATTTAATCAGCTCCTCATTGTCCACCACGTTCAGCAGGTAACTGGGGTGAATGAATGGAAGTCTAACGACGGCCAGCAACTCGGATATGTGCTGTGTGAGAGAGAAGTATATTCACCATGTGATTTCAGTCAGAGCTTCCTGTCTGCATTACTATTGAAAGATTTCAGTGATTCTGATTCAATTCCACGAAACAATTCTTTTAGTACATGAAGAGTGAATAGAAGTCCTACTGAATATATAGTACCGTATATTTAAATACCAATACAATAAATACTACTACTTTGTACCTTCTTTGAAAAAAATACCCCTTCTTCGTAATTTTTTTAAATATAAAGCACCATTTATTATGATAAAACAAATGTGAATCTTCTACTAATCATATAGTACGAACAAGCTTTCAGTCTCTCGTATGCTATCATTGTAACAGTTCTCAATTTACTTTAATTTGAACAAGACAAAAGCAATCACTTGCAGTTCATTATGTAAGTCAAGAACAGCTCGGATTGATTCAGTGAATAATGAGTCATTAGAATTAACTCATGAATTCAAAACAGATTTTAGACTCTTTAACATTCATTTCAAAGAACTGACTCAAAAAAATCAGAATCACGTATATACAGTACTATCAGACAAAAGTAATGAATACTTTTATTTAGCGAGAATGCATTCAATTTATCAAAAGTGACAGTAAAGACATTTATACTGTTACAAATAAGTTTGTAAACGCTCTATTAATCAAAGAATCCTGGAAAAAATGCATCATGGTTTCTACAAAAAGCAGCACCAACTGTAAATATTTTTAATAATAAGAAAAGTTTCTTGAACATCAATTCTGCATATTAGAATGATTTCTGAAGGATCATGTGGCACTGAAGACTGGAGTAATGATGCTGAAAATTCAGCTTTGTATCACAGGAATAAATTACATTTGAAAATATATTCAAATACAGTAGAAAATGGCTATTTTAAATTGCAATAATATTTCAGAATATTACTGGCTTTACTGTACTTTGATCAATTAAATGCAGCCTTTGTGAGCATTTCTTGCAAAAACATTCAAACTGAGGACTATCCATGGCTAGCTTGTTTGCTGAGAGTCATCCTCAGTGGGGTGTTTTGCTCACGTCAGCGTTAAATGCTGTAAACACGAGCTGACAGGGACAGCAGCCAGCCCGACCCTCTCACCTCTGAGCTCACAACACATTACGTAAACATCCGTAAGAAACACTGACACGGCCGGTGCGAACACCTGGGCTTCTGTTGTCTCTCAGAGCGAGACGTGGAGAGAGATTTTCCCTGATCTGACCTTGACAAAGTACTCTTACTAGTCATTCCTCATTAAAGGCAACATTTCGTAGTGAAAGTGCATATTCAATAAGAAGAAAATGTAGGACGAGACATCATTTTATCTACTGCGAATTTAATGGATTGTGAAAAGTATGTAGAGGCTGAAGGTCAAAATCACCCTCGAGAGCACATCCATGTATCCTAATGCCAAGTCTTCTTTTTCAAATCTATCAGTATTTTCAATTATCGCTGTAACTTTTATTACCTTAATCATTAAATTACTGCATACTGGCAAGATTAGAAAGGCTGCACCATCTACAACAGAAGCCTAAAAGTTATTGAAAATATATAATCAGTACCATATCATCATCAGTATCTATCTATCTATCTATCTATCTATCTATCTATCTATCTATCTATCTATCTATCTATCTATCTATCTATCTATCTATCTATCAAAGTTGTATTATTATTAGTAGTATATATTAATTTAGCTAGTTGGCTATTTAGTGAAATGAATGAATAAATGAATGAATGAATGAAAAAAATAAATGAATGAATTAATTAAAAAATATCAACAAATAAGCAACATGGTAACAAGGTGCACATTAAATCCAGTTATTGTGTGAACAATAAATCCAGCTAATATAATGAACTAATTAATATTACAATTAAAAATAAATATGTATTAATTAATTTAGTAAACTGGCTATTTAACAAATATTCAACATAAATAAATAAATAAATAAATAAATAAATATGAATCTACATAGTGGGTTATTTATAAAAAAACACATTAAATCCAATGCACATTAAGTCTATAGTTATATTGTGAACAACAGATCAAGCTATAATAAATTAACAATATAACTAACATTTATTTATTTAGTTTAACCATTATTAAAACTGTATAACTAAACTTACATTAGTATTAACGTAAATAAATAAATAAATAAATTATATACACACACATACATATATATACATATATATACTGTATATATATATATATATACACACTGTAAAACAAATTCCGTAAAATTTACGGTAAAAATCCGGCAGCTGTGGTTGCCAGAATTGTACCGTAAAAAATACGGTAGCATCGTTTTAGGTTTTACGCTTTTAACTTAAATTTACAGTTAAATACCGTAATTTCATTCACTGATATAATGTTAATATACCAACCTATTGAAGTACTGAAATCTGTTTTGTACCTTTGTAATACACTGATAACCACCAAATGCAGGTGGTGATGAGAAAGTCCCATGATGAACCAAAGCCCATCACAAGCAGCTTTTAAATAATAACATATATAGAAGGTCCACAGTGTCATTCACACAAACTCTAAACACCATCATGGTAAAACACATGAAACTGAAATAATGCAATAAACATTCATTTAACAACATTAGGTGTAACACACAACCCTAATATACAAAACTGATATGAAAAAACTAAGAAGAAACATAGTTATTTCAACAAAAAAAACATCCAATTTGAAATGTAACGCAGGGAATTCTGGGAATGTCAATTTACGGTTATTCACTGTAAATTATACGGTCTATTTCACTTCCAAAAACGGTATACTACCATAACATTAATGTCCAATACATGTAATATCCAATACAGTTTTTCACCGTATATAGTAGGGGAATTTGCCGTTAACCATTTAACAGGTTTTTACTGTAGCATTTTTACAGTCTTTTACCGTTAAATTCATGGTCATTTTTTACAGTGTAGGCTAGATGGGTATTTATAAAAAACAAAACAAACAAACAAAAAATATCTTGATCCCTTACCCAGTATCCCCAAACAAAAACAGTTTGTTTAGCAAACATGTTCTCCAAACAATAGAAGGCAAGAGGCCAGCCGCACGCAACGGCCGAGAGAGATTTCAGACACGTGTGCCAGCTCTCAGCACGGCTTTACACAGACTTGGCTAAACCAGCTAAAGTGTGTGCCGGATCTGAACTTTTTGGTGTACCTCACCACACTGGCAAGACTTCCACCTTTATGGAATGTTAATTGCTCTGTGTTTACATGTCATCTGTGCATCATTTGCATACTGATATAATAACCGGCACGCTTGGTTTAGCATATGTCCCCCCAACAGGATCACATATCGTTGAACTGTTCCTGAATCCCGACTGTGAGATCAGGGATTAAGGACGGCAGAACTGGCCTGATTCCAGTGAGGATCTGATCTAAAATAATGTCACGGCAGACGGACGCTCCCCCGGCGCCACACTCCTGCCAGCGTACGGGTTTAACCGACCCAGCCAAACCGCTCTGGACTGGTTAGAGAAAATAATCACGAGCTCCCGGCTCGACTCGGCCGCTGGGAACAGACGAGGGGGGATTTGAGCTCCAGCTCATAAATCTGAAAAACTACATTGCTGGTGCTCGTAGGCTTCTGTCTTGCGCCAGGCGATTAAGTGATAGTGATAAAATATGCACGAACGAAGCAGAAGCAGCAGCTCAGCAGTGACAGATTTCCCCCTGAAGGATGAAAAAGGCAACAGAGGAAAGAAATCACAAACTCAGATGAAACTAAGATGAAGAATTCCACTTTGATCCACATCCGTAACACCAGCCTTTAAAGACTTTAAAAGTGTCAAATTTGCAGTACAGTGTTTATTTAGAGTTCATAATTAAATACAACTACAATATTATTATTATTATTATTATTTCGATTATAATGTTAAAATCTAAATTGAAATATTTTGTTGAAAGATTGAAAAAATGTAACATTTATATATTAAATAATATGTTACTATATTTTATTACATATATAAATGTGATATATTTGTATTAATTTATTTTTAATAAAATATTTATTTTTAATTTTATTCGAAATATTAAAAGTATATTAAAATGTATTTTAAATTAATTTTGATACACACACACACACACACACACAAAATTCTCACAAAATCTCACAATTTTATTATATATTTTATAACAATGTGATATATCATATTATATAATTTGATATCTTTACATAACTTAAAACACAAGTTTTAATAACTTTAATAACTAATAACTTTTTTCAATTTTAATAATTTTTCATACAAAATATTTTTACATTTTTACTAAACACACATGTTGCAGACTAAATTGTAATATTTGTAATAAACTAAATTGTAATATTTAAAAAATGGAAATATATTTTGACATTGAAAATATAAAAAAAAAATTATGATTAATATGAATACACTGTATTATGGAGGTTATTTATGTAAATGTACATAACCTGTTATATATATTTATTTGTTTGAACTATTTTATATCACAACTTTACACTATTATATATTTATATTTTTTACATTTAACAAGAGATTTGCTTTAAAATAAATTTCCAGTATCATCTGCCCACCCTCAAGTTGCTCTAAACTTGTAAGGCTAAATACTTTGACAAAACATGACAGATCTGCCCCCCTTTATTAATTAACAGCCATATTTTCAGAACAATGCTTTTTAAATATTTGTGCACTGCAGCTTCAGCTAGATTTAGAATTAGAAGCCCTTTTTTCCAGCTATGTTGGGCTGTTTTACCCTGTCTGACCTCTAACCCAGCACACAGCGCTGTAGAAGTGCACCCATCACATGCAGTTGTGTGAATTATTCAGCCATAAACAGCACAGAGAGACTCACGCTAAGGGCATTAGTAGCACACAGCCGCTCCTCCCACACATCCTGTATCCTCTGCCTCATTTATATTCATTTATCCAACACCTTGTGCTTAGACTCCTTCCAATGCTAGGCTCAATTTGTCAATGAGCTTAACGACGCCAATCTCCTGCGCATTAGAATCAATGCTAAAGGGATCTGACATCCTGCCATTTGGGTTGTGCCTGACGGACTTCACTAGGAGGGTGTGTGAGGGTCACATCCGTGAATCAGCTCTAATTCACACACCTCAGGCTCCCGGAGCGGCCGGCAAAGTCCCTATCCGCTCTCTGTCAGCTCGGAGAGCTATTTGTCTTCGTGTCTAGGCATGCCGTTAGCGCATTTCCCTTCTGTCATCCAGGACCTCTGGGACAGAGGGTCCTTCTGCTCCTGTAATGTAATTGTCAGGTGTTGATCACCACAGAGAGAGAGGGACGCACGTGGGGTGACGGGCCGATGTGCCGTATGAATGCATGAGGAGAATGGAGATCACACAACGTGCTCTCAGCACCAGAAACAATTCATAAATGTAGACTATTGCTCATATTTATGGATATGAAAAAATGTGAACTTACATTTTTTATACATTTCATTTTAAGAATGATCAAACAAACAAAAATTAGCAAAGATGGCATATCTCTAAGATACATATCTATATAAATAACTATTATTTTTTTCAAATATTTTCCAATATGCTCTACAATACACACACACACAAACAAACAAGAACTTGTATAAATATAATTGTAAAAATACATATTTTAATTTTATTATCAAAAATATTTTCCCATATATATATATATATATATATAAATATGTGTAAATCAAATGAAGATAGCGATATATATCTATATCTATAATTAATATTAAAATATAGATTAGCATCTTAATATACTGTATTTCATTAATAATACTTAACATTTGATTAATTCTTTAAGATAAATGGTAAACATTTATAATATAAACAGTAAACACAGGATCTATACATCTAGATATTAAAACGTTTAATATAAATATAAAAAATATAAATATAATTTTATTATCAAATATAGTATATGTATATATATATATATATATATATATATATATATATATATACAGTGGGGAAAAAAAGTATTTAGTCAGCCACCAATTGTGCGAGTTCTCCCACTTAAAAAGATAAAAAGATTTAAAGATAGGAAACGATGTATTGTATTAAAATATAAATAATTTTTTATTATCAAGACTAACA